TGACCTTGTTTGACCTTTTTTGACCCGAAGGTTTGACCTAGGGACCTGAAACTTCGACCTAAGTGAGTTCACGTACAGGCCAATGCACCCTGTAAATTTTGTATCTCTAGCTCTCTTAGTTCCTAGGTCTCAGGGGGTCAAATTGACCCCCATCCGAGGGAAGGGTATCTAGCCGGCCACCCGGGCGCGTATTAAGGCACGAGGGTAAACCAATATTAGTAGCTCATTGATGCGATAGGTACCGTACCTTTTAGCGATTGTAGGGTTTGTTATTCAGTTCACAGTACGAAGACATACTGTCAATGGGGCTGGGGCTCGCTCGTGCAAACTTGTCCCCACCCCGTCGCAAATCCCGGCTACGCCCCTGTTTCTCACCCCCCTTCACCCGTGTAGCATAGATGGCTGCGCCACTTGTGTGGTAGTTAGGCATCACTTCGTAAACAAGATTATGATAGGGAAGTCTCGTTTGAGTCTCGTATTATAATCTACAAACTGCACAGAGCGGCATGGGTTGTGCATGCATTAGTGACCGTGAATCGGGTTCAAAGATTTCTGCATAAAACGGACGGAAATTTTTCTTTTAGGCACGCGCATACTCACTTCGGCGTACCGGCGATGTCCAGTTGCATAGAAGGAACTACACTTGGTCGAAGGCATGGTTTGGCATTGGGTATGAGACTAGCCTTAACCAGATGGCCAGGATCATAGCCATGATCTTGAAAGTGATCAAATCATATTACCGCAATCTCCACATTTATAGTGTCAGCCCAAGAGCAACGGTGCACTCATGTTCTCAGGGCAGTTGGATCGTTTTTTGAAAGTGTAAACAAATATAATTGTTTTACTGTGTCGTTTAGCACTCTTGCAAGAGGCCACTTCACAGGATGGCATCTTGCTGTCAAAAACTGTCTTTGATGCTCACTCTTACCCAACGCTCACACAACATTTCAAATTTCTCCCATCCGCGACATAATAGCACGCACTGAGGCCACATAACTAAACAAACTTGATGCCACACTGCACGACAATAGACAAGACAACCACGGCATTTCTCCGTGACTTCTGTTTTCCAATCGACGCTGTCAACGTTGCCATGCAACGCCGCCGCGCGAGCCAGTGCGACTTTGTGACATCACCGTCTAACGTTAACGAGCCGCCCGCCCGACCAATTTCTCAAGCCTGTGGTCATGGCCCCCTGGCTCTATCATATTGGCTCGAGTCGCATAAAATAACAAACAGAAAGTTTTTACGTCGCCTATGAAATTCAGGCACCTCCAAATGCAAGAACCTCGCAAATCGTAACACCGACACTGCACAGCCATCTTCTGTCTCACATTTTCACACGCATATCGTGCACTGTCCGCTACCCTTTCCACCGATAATCGCGCTAGCACGACTGAACTCTGCTCTGCCTTCGTACCGACGATGACAGCCCGCATGCCCTGCCGCATGGAACCACGGCTAGAACTCGGCGGTGTTTGCAGGCGAAGACAACTTCTTGACGCTCTTGACCTAATGGAGGGAAAACTTTACCAGGTAATGAAATGATGCTGCCAAAATGTACTACTTGATGTTTTGTTAAAGGCAGGTTTTAAAACGCGATCCTTGCTCCCCATGCCACCGAACATGTCAGCGCACATGCAAATGGTAAGCCATGCCGGGCGATCTCCACATTCGCTATGGTCATGGGATCATCACCACGAAAGCGCGCACAAGGACGTGGTCACTGGAGGCGAGATGTCCGTTGACTTTAAGCCTTTTATTGCAAGAGAAGCGCTTCGATATGACATAAAACATAGGTATGTACGTCCTTTTAAAGCAAGCATATTCGCGTCTGGCACGGGACTTGTGGTGTGCCTCTTCATTGCCTCCAACATCCGATCTGTAATTAAGCATTTTCATCCATTCAGACTCCAGGAACTAGTGCAACCCAATCCGGAGTTTTGGAGTCAAAGCCGCCCATCTTTTGCAATTTTCATAGATCTTGAACTCCATCCGACCAAATCCAAGGAGGTTAGGTCTATCAGGTGCCAACCTACCTCGGCCACAAATGTCGCATGAAGCACGCAAGAGCATAGAAACATCTCACATTGTCATTCATGAGACGTGTCCATCTCCTTCGAATTCGTCTCTGACCTTCATTTTTTCACTGAACCCTTGGCAATTTCAATTCCTCATCCTACCAGGTCCTCATTTGCCGAGGGTTGAGACCTTTACCAGCGTGAGCGTATATACATACATACAGGGTTACATTGGAGTTAACAGCCATTGGGTCCATCTGAAGCTGTACCGTTGAAGTCGTTGCCTACGGTACCATGTATTGTTAATACGCGCTGCCCGGAGCAGCAATGCTCTGATAGTCGAGCCGCTCTGGTTTGCTAACAAATACTGTGGCTGTTCCGACGCAGTTCACGTGTATCCCTTCATTGAGGTTGCCCATGCCCGGATATTTGCCTTAAATGCCGAATATGTTACCCCAAATGCGCAGCGTCTCACCTCCAGGCTCGCTAGCCTTTGTTTTAGGGCTCCCCGTTCTAGCCTTCCGTGGCACTCCTCTTTTAAAGCGCAAAGGGTATATCCACCTGTAAGCGCGAGATCTATGTGTATGCATGTTCCTAGATAGGTGTGTCCTTGTTGAAACAAGAATTACGTGCCTCACAATTCCTCCTCTGGAGCTTGACAAATATAATTGCAGTGTTCAAGCTGCTGCTCGAGGATTTTCCCACGCTGGATGTCAGGATTCATCAGTCATTACACAATTGTAAGTGTTTGTTTAGTTTGCGGTAGGTTTACAATAACGTTGCACGAAATAGCTGCCTTAAGCCGACGTTGAACAAAACCCCCTCTTAAAGTAAGCAATGCAGTATTTTTTATCACCTATTTCGATCAACAAAAGCAGGAGCACGAGCAATGGAGGAGCGAAGGGGCGCGTGGCTTATCCCTTAGATCCCGAGGGACCCGAGCAGCCCTTCGGGACTGCCGACCAAGGAGCCCGGTTGGAGGGTCGGAAGGGCTTGACCGTGGGAATCAGCTCCGTCCTGCAGGGCCGGGCTCTCAAATGCTAGTTAAAGGATCCCATGCGTTGCTCGTAAGCTCTTGGAACGACGAGGGCCTCTATGTCGGTGATAAACAACTAATGCCTATCAGTCGGCTTCGTGTTGGTGTGGCCCCTTACAGACCATTTCAAAAGCAGGGACAAGGCTATTGCCCCCGAATGCCACCGAAGGTCCCTTGCGTGGGTTGGGCCCATAAAACAACGACGGACCTCCTGTTTCGGTCCGGGGTCCACAGCCCCGAACTGGTAAGCCGTGACGGCAGGAGGCCCCGAGCTAGTCATGGTTATGTGTGGCGAACAGTGGCAGTGATGTGACACCGAATGTGTGAGGGACTGTTGCGTTAGGCTGGGCCGCCTTTTAATGAAAGAAGACGTGACATATGGCAATCCAAGAGTCCAAAGTGGGACAATGGCAGGAACTCTGTACTACTCAAGGGCCTGGCTCCGAAGGGGGTGGGGGCTGCGCCCTGACTCAGCCATGAGCACGGTGAGCAGGTCCCTGTGCCAATCATCGGACCTCTGCGCCGTTAGCGGCTCCTTTTGGGTCAGTGGTGGTGCCTGCGTCGACTAGGGCCAACTACCGCGGTCAGCCCCGTCCCCCCCCCCCTCCAGATCAGGGAGGAGACCGATTCATGATATTCTCCTTTGAGACCTTTGGGATCAACCAGAGGAGCGCGACCTCCGAGTCACCAGAAGTGGCAGTCGGTAAGTATATCACTGGCTTGTACAAAAGGGTCATTCAGCACTGACCGATGAGTGCAACATGCGGCCCGGGCTACCTGCGTAACAGGGGCGTAGTTTCACAAAAAGAGTTCGGAATTGAACACTGAGCCCCAAAATATGCCAACAAATAGGTTTCTGCCTAGATGTGGCCCCCCCCCCCCCCAGCTCTTCCCCCCTCCCAATTGAAAAGAATACTTCACTTCTGACGTCAAACGTGTGAAATTATTCAATAATGCTTTCTGAAACATTACTCGGCAACACGTGGCTGTTTTCGCGCTCACGTTGGCGGCTGCCTAGTATTAGTTGCTGAGCCGAACACCGAGCGGCGTAGGCAGATCGCGACGCTGGACAGCAGTATTTTTAGTTGAGTGCGAGGGGAATGAGCTGCTCAAAACTACTCACGTGATTTTTTTCTCAATAATCTATGCTTAGGAAAGGATGAACGTCACCAGGCCAGCATGTCAATGCAAATTAGCCATGTAGTAAAAGGTTGACACCGCTTAGAGCTATAGGCGTGTTAATCAAACGATGCTACCCAATATGCTTATGAACCCCGACAAATTCCAGCAGTGCCGGAGACTGTTATCTATTGAGAAGGACGAATGAGTCATTTTAAAAAGGAGCACCGTTGATTTTTCGATACAGTCATGCAGTACCCGGTTCGTGCACTTTATTATCTTCTAGATACAAGTCAAATTTCATGGTGCGGTAGGCTCTGGCTCTCTGAAAGTACAGGACAGGAACATGAAACAAAATGTTGGCCCTCAGAAAACACCGTGGGCCAAAAAGTTGATTTTTCTAGGTACATTGTTTACCAGGTACTGGAAGGGAAACGGACCAGGTGAACTAGGCGCTTTTCGAACCAGGCGCTCCTCGTGTGCACCACAGTGCGCAGATTTCACATCGCCCGTGTCCACAATGTGCTGGTTTCGTCTCAGCGCTCTGTAAAACTCGTAACAGTATGGTGGCCACATCACTCAGGCAAACGGTGTGCCCTAAAAGTAAACTCATAATCGTCATCATGCACAATGTAGGAATCTGACATAAGCTAGAAACATTTGCTTTCGTTCATGTCCGGAGAAGACTTATTCAGAGTATTCCAGTGTGTGGCGGACTTAAACCTGGCAGTACGCTAATGTAATAAATAAGTTTGCTCCTTAATGGCATCCCTTTGTAACGCATTAGAGGCGGTTCCGGCGTCGATGGACGCTGCCAGAGCCGTGCCTTGTGCTGCGAGTGTCATTCCAATTTTGTGCCATCGGTTTGTGGGGCGCAGTCTGCGTCGTGTATTATGTGGGTCTGCAGCCCTAGCCTCCGATCGTTTCATGTGATTGCCATTCTTCTGCAGTCCTATAAAGCCATATTACAAATTTGGTTCGCGTGGCCATCCTGCAGGTGTCAGCTCAACATTGTTTAAATCATTAGGGTATCATAGGTCATGCCCTTAAGTGATTTCGGTTTCACCCATTCTTGACGTTTTTAGTGTCTGTATGTAATGATATTGCACCTTCTGTTTGTGTCCTGTATCAAATATACCTGCTCAATCTATGTGAAATGAGGGTAAGCTATTGCCGTGCTCATTGGGTCTCCAATGGGAGGTGGTGTATATGATATCAGTGCAAACACTGAGTACATCACATCACATGTTCCATATAAGTATGATATAATATTCAGGAAGAAGATTCTAGAATGTGGGCACCAAAAGTTGTACCATGTAACAGGGAACAGTACTAGTGCATTGCTATTGCTCTTGACTGTGTGGCATGTGCACAATATATCCTAAATGCACATTTGTATGTGTACATAACAACCAGTGCTTAGCATGTATTGTGTGATTTATCATGTCTGCTTGTGTCATGTCATTGTTAGGCTCAGCTCTGACTATGCATTGCCAGCTCATTGTGAGCCTGTTCATGCTATGCCACTACCAGTATGATAGTAATTAATGTTATTTAATGTAGAAATTATGATACTTGAATGCAGCACTTCTTGAGCTGCCTGCCAAAACATGGCATTATAAAATGCAAGCATGAAAGGAGAGGCTAGGAGACATTTTTCTATACTGAAAATATTACAGACATCCTTAATGAAGTAAGATAAATAAATCCATAGCTCATAGCTCATAATTGAATTGGTCCATGTAGTCTATATAGGTCACTTTTGTTATGATATAGATACCATTAAGTAGACCACAGTTTTAAAAAGTGGATCTGGGCTGTAAGTAGTACTTTCTCTCTGAAAGTATGAATTAGATTACTTGGCTGGTAGCCACTCAAAATGAGGTGAGTTTTAAATGACACACAATTTGCAATTTTCTGGGAATTTCACAGGCCAGGACCAGCAGCAACATTAAGTGGCACTTGTGATTGCATTTGCTGCTGCAGTTACAATACTTTGACCCGCAACTGTGTAGCCAAGCACAGAGTGCTTTCTGTCATTCCTGTGAAGCTAGGATAACATTTGACATCCTCAGGGTTGTTCCATGGCTTGCATTCAGGTATACAAATACATTTGTAATACTTTCTTTTTCAAGCTCTTCTTCTGTTACTCATATTGATATTATGGACAGCTGAACATAGGATTTATTGAAAGTGAGAAGTGAGAAGTGACTGAGAGTGAGTTTAGAAGTGAGAAAGTGAGAAGCTCATGCTACCATTTTCAAAACTGGCCATGATGTTGGCAATGTGACATTTGGTTTTACTTAATGTATTTAAGGTAACATATGTGTCATGGCTGTGGTAAAAAGGATTTTGTGTGAAGCTGCTGCAAATGTGTCATCTCTGTAACACCTTTCTACTTCATGATTTCCATCTGACTCAGACAGCCTAAAGCACCACGCACACAGCCAAACAGTTAGTTGTTTATGGTCAGGTCAGGTCGGGTGGTCAGGGGCAGGACTGTGGGTCACTGTGGATGGTGTCTGGCACAGGGCCCAGAGCCACATTCTGTTTGCTTTCTCTCAGGCTGTGTAGGTTCCAGCTGTTGGTCAGTTAAGTCACATTCTGACCCTCCAGCATGCTTTTCTCCTGTGTCAACTTTTCTGCTCTGTTGGTGGCACTTGTTTTCATTTGCTGTCTTCTGCCTTACACTGAAGTAGCCACTGCATTTCCTGCATGCAGTTATGTAAAAAATGCACCTGCCACCCCTGTATGCCTTAAAGATGTACTTGATATATTGTCTGTGTAGATATTGTTGACTTTCAGGAATGTGTATTGATGCATGTTGTATCCTGTCATACCTCAGAGTTTAAGAATCAAAGGCTGTTGAAGTCCAGGCAGAACATTCTGTGACAGCTACACAATCATGGAGATTTCTCGGGCAAAGGATCTTCTTGCCTGCATTTGGAGGCAGAGTGAAGGTGAGACTGAACAGTTGTTGGATGGCATCATGTTATCATTTCATTCATGTTATGCCATCAGGTCAAGTCATCCCACTTTCAGTAAGTGAAGGCCAGGAGCCATTCTGAAGTCCAATCAGTGCCTTGTTCCAGCCCTGCTGTAACATGTGTGCAGTATGAAGCGGCTCACACATATCTGATACGTGCATCACGTACATCTCTCTGATAGGTCAGCTGCAGGTATGTTTGATGATGCCAAGTGAGCATGCCTGACGGCCGGCCGGTAGAGTTCGTCGGCCGTTGCCCGCCTGACGACGCGTCTCGTTCCAGTCGGCTCGGACAGCTGCCCGCCGGAGCTGCTGGAGCGCGTGCGCCGGCTGACCCAGCAGCTGGCGGCCGGGCCGGCGGGCGCCCCGCCCGAGCCGCAGCTGCTGCACACGCTGCTCGACGCGTCGGACGGCGCCGAGCGGCTGCTGGCCGCGCGGCCGCCGGCGCTGCAGACCGAGTGCCTGCTGCTGGCCACTGGGCTGTTGGCTGCCGCCGCCGACGCCGACGCCGCACTGGAGGTGGACGTGGAGCCGCTGCTGGACCAGCTGCTGGCTGACGTGTATTCGCCGTCGCCGCCGCCGCCACCGCTGGCCGCCGACCGGCTGGCGGCGGCGCAGCGGGCGGCTGCACTGCTGGGCGCGCTCGACCAGCTGGTGCAGAGCGACCACGAGGCGCACCGGGCGCGTGCCGGCGAGCTGCTGGGCGTCGGCCGGCTGCACATGTTCCACGGCCTGCCCGGCTGGGACGAGATGGCTCCACGGCCGCTGTTCCCCGTCCCGCAGACGCCGCACGACGCGCCGCGTGCGCCGCACGAGGCCGACCGCACCGAGAACGGGCGCGCTATCCGGTCCTCCACCGGCAAGAAGGTGCGCCGCCGCAAGCCCAACGAGCGCAAGAGTATCAAGCGCGCGCCAGCGTCGGCCGAGCCGGGCGGCGAGCTGGAGGATCGCTCGCCGCGCACCTGGATACAGGAGAGCACCTCCGACTCGGAGGCCGGCGGCGCCGAGGCCCGGCTGCGCGCCGCCCAGGCGCGTGTGCGCCAGGCGGCGTTGGTGTTGCTGCACTCGGTGGTGAGCTTCAGCGACAAGCGGCACATGCTGGGCTTCTGGCCGTCGTTGGTGCCGGACACGCCGCACGTGCCGGCGCGCACGCTGATGACAGTGGTGCTGCAGGACCCGGCGGCGCGCTGCCGGCTCGGCGCCGCCTCCGTACTGCGGGAGATGCTCGACTCGAGCCGCTTCTTCTTGACAGGGGTCGATGACCGCGTGCCGGCCGGGCCGGCGCCCTTCACGCCCTACTCGGTGACCATGGCGTGCCTGGTAAAGGAGCTGCACCGCGGCCTGCTGTTGGCGCTGCTGGCCGAGAAGTCGCCGCTCACGCTAGCCGCCGTGCTGCGCGCGCTCGCCACGCTCGTGGCCAACGCTCCGTACCACCGGCTGCGCGTCGGCTTGCTGACCAAAGTCAGTCGACACGTGCGCGCGTTCCTCTCGCACCGCAACCACGACGTCAAGATGGCGGCGCTGTCGGTGCTGATCAACGTGGTGTCGATCCACGAGCCTCTGCCTGAGGTGTTCCAGCTGCTGCGCGCGCCGTCGCTGCTGGACGAGGCCTCGTCCACCGACGCGCGCGACTCGGCCACCTCTGCGGACGAGGTCACTGCCGACGCCGGCGACGAACTAGAGCTGCTGGAGGACGATGACGAGCCTGACGAGGAGGCGGAGCCGGGCGCGCCGGCCGTCCGGTCCTGGCTGTGGGTGCGCTGCCGCGCCTTCGTGCTGCGTCAGCGCGACGCACCGCCGGCCACGTTCTTTTACCCGACGCCGGTGCGCCTGCAGGCCATGCGCACGCTCTGCGCGCTGGCCAAGAACTACTTCGCGGCGGTGGCCGGCTGCCTGCCGGAGGTGAGCGCGCTGCTCGAGCGCTGCATGTGCGACGAGGACATGTCGGTGCGCCTGCACGGCGCGCACCTGCTCGAGTGCGTGGGCGACGCGGCGGCGGCGGTGGCGTCGGGCGCGGCCGCCTACGACCTGTGGCTGGCAGCGCTGGCCAGGCCGCTGCCGGCGCTGTTCGCGCCCGACCAGAAGCCGTTCGTTCGCGCCGCCGCGTGCCACGCGCTCAGCACGTTGGGCGCCGGCGTGTTCGAGCGGCTGCCGCGCGACAAGCAGCTGTTGTGCGTGACGCTGCTGCTGCCGCTGGCGGCCGACGAGGAGGGCAGCGTGCGCTGCGCGGCCGTCCGCGCCGCCGGCGTGTTCGTGCGGCTTCCCAGCCTGGCCGACGACCCCGGCTACCTGCTGGACACGGCCGAGGCGGCGTGCGCTCCCGCCACCGCCGCTCACCCCTTCCCGCAGGTGCGCATCAACGCCGTGTGGACGCTGGCCAACCTGACCGACTCACTGGTGCAGCGGCCCGCCTGGCAGCCGCTGGCCACCGTCGTGCTGGCCAACATGACGGCCGTGGCGCTGCGCGCCGCCTCCGACAGCGACAAGGTGAAGGTGAACGCTGTACGCGCGCTGGGCAACCTGCTGCGCCACTTCCCGGCCGAGGTGGCCGCCGACGGGCGCATCGCGCCGCTCGTGCCCAACTGCGTGGCTGCTCTTGTGCGCTGCATGAGCACCGGCAACAGCGTCATCCACATGAAGGTGCGCTGGAACGCCTGCTACGCCGCCAGCAACGTGTTCAAGAACGGATGCCTGCCGTTTGCCACGGCTGCCTGGCGGCCGCCGCTTATCGAGGCACTCTGTAAGTTGGCCAGCAATTTCAAGAACTTCAAGGTGCGCATCAACGCGGCGCTGGCGCTGGCGTCGCCGACGGACCGCACCGCGTACGGCGACCAGTTCCTGATGGCTTGGAGCCGCATGCTGGAGGCCCTGGAGACGGCGCAGAACATCACCGACTTCAACGAGTTCAAGCACCGCGACACACTGCTACGCCAGGTCTGCCTCACGCTTTGCCACCTGGCGGCTCTGCTGCAGGCAGCGGATCTGGCGCAGGCAGCTGACGCGCTTGCCGCGCACCTGGAGACAGTCACGGCGCACATGAGTCGGCTACCCAGCGCCCTGCTACCCGAGCAGTCAGCACCCCTGCTGGCGGCTCGCGAGAACCTCAGGCTACTGAAGCAGAACAGAGGTGGCGCGCTCAGCGCCGACAAGACCGAGGCGCTCAAACTTCTCTCAGATGTCTTTGAAGCCACAGTTGATGACCACCATGTGCTCTGACTCAGGTCGTGTGTGTTTGACTCAGGCCGCATGCATTTGAGTCATGCCACCTATTTGAGCTCGGGCTGAAACGTGGAGCTTTCTCGAGAAGGGTTACGTGGCATCCGTGATAATTGTGAGTGGCACATGATTAACAAGTGAGAATGCGTGTGTTTAGTTAAACTGTGTGACAAGTTCGTGCTATTGGTGGACAGTCGTTTGTTTTGTGCAAGGCAGGCATTGCGCGAACTGACTGTGGTGGCCTGACTATTTTTCCACTACGGCGTCCCGGAACTATGTCGATCCAAACCGACACAGGTGATTTCTAATTCAGATTTCAGTTATGATTAACCCTATTGATGGCGAAACATGCGATTTGCCACTTGAGCCCCTACAGAGCCGTGTGATGGCGTGGTTTTTGAACGCACCGTGCGCCTGCAATGCCTGGACCGTCAGGCCTGGATGTTTTATGTTGAAGTTGACAGTTGATGCTAATACACGAATTGTTTTGAAGTTCCTGGATATGCTCATTAGTAGTGCTTATCGAGGAGCGTGACTGGCTTGTTGCCATGCATGATAAACAGAATGCTGCACTTTACACTATGCTAAGCGGATGGCCCTAGTGAGAAAGTGCTTGCACTGCCGGCTGGAAAGAAAGCGTTAGCACACTTTGGCTGAGCCCTGGTTGATGCTTCATGATGATCATTAAAATGGGTGCAAAAACGGAAACGCAGGCGATGGCACCTAGTTCTCTACAGGTTTTCGGGATGAGGACACGCAAGCGTGGTTCGCGCGCGGTCCGTTCAGTCTTCGGCCGTGCAGCAACATTGCGACCTTAACATGCATGGACCGGCCTAGCGATTCCGTGTAGAGTTGACATTGCATTCGAGTAGCCTACAATTCAGCCAGGTGCTCAGTTGTGTTGAACTGGCAGCGCTCGGATCACTATTCAGTTGAAAAATATTTGGAACTTGCAGGATTTTTTTTAATTTGGTAGCTGCGTGTTTGCTACATACATAACGGCCATGATACATAAGCAACAAATCCAGGCAAATGGCTTCCCGTCAAACTTGGGGAGAAATTGCGAAAGCAGTGCCGTTATCAAAGTCCTGTGAACATTTGTGGCTCTGGGAGCAAGTCCTGCATTTAAGTCGTGACGTTATCATACGGTCCATAAGTGTGCCGTCAAGGCTGCATAGCGGCGGAGTCTTGCCAACATGACTATCTATAGTATTTATGTGTTGTCAAAAGCCGGCGGGCTTATCTTCAATTGTGACCAAAACATTCCTAAGATTGAGTTGGAGAAAACTTTCAGCTATCCTCTTCCATACAAGCTTGTGTTTGAAAACAATCGAATTGTTGTTTCATTTGGCCAAAGAGATGGCATAAAAGGTATGCAATTTGTACATTACAAGTTGTGTTGTGGTCAGGCTGCATTGTTACCTTTATATACCTTTTGCATTGTTTATGCTCTTTAAGGTGCTGGTTGAAGCTAGTTACTGCATAGGTCTGTCAGCTTGTGTTTATTTTGTTTGTGTGTGGTATTGTTTGGATGATGAATGGGCAGAAGTATTCAGTTTGTTTTGAGCACCTCAATGCTTGGGTAGGTTATTTGAGCATCATGTTAAAATGTGGATGTCCGTTACAAGGCAAAAATTTCATGAGAAGTATGTCTGTTATTCCTTGCCACACATGTGAATAGCAACTTGTTGGACCAAAGCTGGCTTAAGCTGTTGTTTTCTAGTACATGGACTGGAACTTACAAAATTCTGTCCCAAGTGTATGAAATATCTTGTACTGCCAGCTTTTGGATTTTAATGCTGAAATATTTACATGGATTTTTATCAACCTGGATATGAGCAATATTTCTTACCAGAGAAGTATCAACATTGTGGTGCATTTTACTCACTCTGGGAACTGTTTGTCAGTGGATTATAATTACCCAACTTTACTCCTTTGACTAGTAGATGTCAAAGTGTACTATGGGGTTACAAGGAAATGAAAAAGTGGAATGTATGCTTACCACACATTGGCTTATGTGCAGCTACATCCAATTCTTAAATCACTGTAGGCAATGGAGAACTGACTGATGCAACTCAATTGGATACAGGATGTGTGTTCTGCATTACTATGTCACGTTAAAACCTATGTTTTCAGTTGGCCATTCTCTGTTGGCCATCAATGGCATAGCAGTGACAGGAAAGCAGCTGGATGATGGGAGGGATGCATTGAAGGTGGGTGGTGCTGGAGCTTCCACAACTGCATTGCTAAATTTGGATGATACCCTGTTGTTTCTTTTGTGGGTTTGGTTTGGGTTATATTGAAAACATTTTTGTTGTTTGAGTGCACCCAAGAACTTTGTCAAATTCCATCAAAAATTGTTGTAAACTGTCTTGAAGCATGGGGTATAATGCTTGGTACAAATCACTCATCCATTTCCACATATCAAGTGTGTAGGCTGTCACTGATCAGCTTGGTCATCAGGTGCTGGAGGACCCAGAGCAGTACCCAATCAGCCTCAAGTTCGGCTGGCCGCGCCTCTCCACCAACGAGAAGATCTTCCTGGCCAGCATGTTCTACCCACTGTTCGCCATTGCCAGCCAGCTGAGTCCGGAGCCACGCAGCTCCGGCATCGAGGTTTTGGAGACGTCATCGTACCGGCTGCACTGCTACCAGACGCTGACTGGTGTCAAGTTCCTGGCCGTGGTCGACCCGCGCCAGACGGGCGTCGACGCGCTCCTCCGCCGCCTGCACGAGCTGTACGCCGACTTCGCCCTCAAGAACCCCTTCTACTCGCTCGAGATGCCGATCCGGTGCGAGCTGTTCGACACGCACGTGCGCAGCGCCCTGGAGCAGGCCGAGCGGCTGGGCGTGGCCAACGTGTGAGACGCGGCTGGCGGACGGGAGGCTTGGACAGATCCGGCAGTGGCGCGGACGGGCGCTGGACGGTGCGCTCTGTGGTGTGGACGGGTGCTGGACGGTGAGCTCTGTTATGCGGATGGGCGGAGGACGGTGCACTCTGTGGCGCGGACGGGCGCTGGACGGTGTGCTCTGTGGTGTGGACGGGCGCTGGCCAGCGCGCTCTGTGATGCGGATGGGCGGAGGACGGCGCGCTTTGTGGCGAGGGTAGGCGGTGGACGGTGCGCTCTGTGGCGAGGACAGGCGGTGTACGGTGCGCTCTGTGGTGCGGAGCTGGCACCGGCGGCAGGTGGAGCCGGGACGCCTCCTGTGTGGTGCCTTGGCTGGGTCGTCGCGGTCAGTTCTTGGGTACAGTCTGATGCGGATAGTCGCCTGTTTGGCACCCGGCGGGCGACGGTGGACGTGGAATGTGTCGCCGAGGCGGCGCGTTGTTACTATATTTGATATGCTGAAGTAGCGTTTCGACATCTGCTGTTGGAGTCTAGCGTTGTATTGTTATGTATTTGAGTTCGTGGAGACAACTCGCTGGGAAGAGATCAGATTGGTGAATTGAGTCGCACCGTGCAGAAACGACGAACAGCAGCTCTCTCTGTGTTATCTTGCTTTGCGAAAGGCAAGCACTGCGACATTATTAGACATATGTATCGCGGACATCACACAAGTCTTGGTATATCGTCTTTGTTGTGGGGTTGTACCTCGAGTCTGTTTTTCCACGCCGTTGGAATTACAAAAATGTTCCGAGCACCACAAAAGTTGCGGTAGATACGATCATCGGCATCGCGTTCGGTGGCGTAGTGTATTATATGCGTATCAAAATACATGATATGATATATATTCATTTCTGCATGAAGCCCGTCAGGAGGTGAGCCGAACAAAGCGGTGCAAACGATCAATTCAGTAACTTTCGCTTACCGCTAGGCTGCGTTTGACAAACCAGTCCAAAGGCCTAGGTGCTTTAGGCCGTTCGATGCGGCATGTTGAAGCTCTGATTTTCAATGGATTTTTTGCTTCTCAAAACTTGAGTCTGGCTTGTGCTGGTCGATGCAAGCACCCTTCACCAATAACGGGGATGAAATGTGTACCTTGCCAAAGCACGTTAGAGGGGATCCATGCTTTCCGCACAGCTTGAACAACTGCCTTCTTGAAAAGTCGTTGATCCCCTCAGGGGCGCGGTTGTGTTTGAGTAATTATTCCACACCACTTCAATGTGTCCATAAATGCAACGGTTCGGGGAAGTGATTCGATAAGCATTCGAAGCGAGCACGCCTGCCGTGGCCGCATCAGAACAGGTAAGGGGAGGCCGGGTTATTCACATTCAGTGTTATGCTGCTAATAATACCGTTCGTCCGAAACATATTCTTCAGCCCCGCAGAGGTACAAGCCTTTGCGACTGGTTTGGCGGCACGGCCACTTATCTCGAGAAACTTTCCATGAATTATGGATGGCAACGGCTGCCGCTGTCACTATGCGATGGGTGAAATAAATTAAGCTTCCCAAAGTTGCTCCTAGGTGGCTTCTGATGCAGAGGTCTGGGAGGGGCGAGCATAAACAGGCTCCGCGTCTGCAGCGATTATCGATTACAGCAGGCGTAGCACTGGCCGACGCGAGTTAAACCGACTCTCTGGTAGTGTTAGCGTGACAGGTCATGAATTATGCCACGATCACTTCACATGCCACCATAACAAGACCTGATGTGGCATTTGCTACCATATGCAATGATTGGAGTTGTGTGTCTCTGGAGAAGCCCTATCCGCGGCGACCCCCCCCCCCCCCCCCACACACACACTATTTACCTCAGTATACTCAGTTTAATATGAAATCACCAAGGTGTCCAACATTCACAAAGACGGGGAAACTACGGTTGGCGGAGATCTAGCCTGGATCCCGCGACAAACCTCACGAATTCTTTGTTACCTTTACCACATCTATCGTGCCACGCACATGATTATGAGAGAGGACACAGGCATATCGGGTATCAACGTCAACTAAGCGGAAATTATGTGCGCTAAGCGTTCTGGCCCAGTGCCCAACCCGACCAGCAACGCCTTTGACGGGCTCATATTCTTGCAACCCCTGATCGCATCGGCATGCAATTGATAGCGAGTTCTAACGCATTGCCTTCACAATTGATGGCGAGTTCTAACGCATTGCCTTAACAATTGTGTCGCAATATGTTCAGAACACGTCAGTGCAAGCGTTCGCTCAGGCGGCGTACTTATGCACGGTTGACATTCCATGACTATGATTTAGCGATTGAGCTCAGACCTGTCTAATTGACGGGTTTATGCGATAAGCATCCACCCCGAGCAGTGTCTGTTGCGTGAGTCCGGACCCGCCATCCGATCGTAAAACGCCGGGCTAACGGCAGAGTTTGGAGGCCAAAGACTGCCTGTGCCGCGATGCCCGGCACGGTCTGTGCTGCCCTCTGAGATCCCCCTGACAGCGTGACCCCTGTCACTGGCTGCAAGCTGTGCCAATTTACCGGACAAGTAGCGAACGCTCGAAGGGACTCGAACCCACCCCACCACGGGTGAGTGATCGGAGCATATTTGTCCCAACCAAGCTGAGCTACTGGAACGGACGGACGCACGCACTGGGAAGGAGCTAGAGCCTACTTCACCTCTCCATTCGCTTAGCATGGGACGTAGTATGTCCCACTCACGAAAAAAGAGGACCGCGGGTTGGAACCGGGTCCAGATCTCGGTGGCCAGGTGTCCCAGCGAGATGGAAGTAGCTGGTACGGGCGGGGAGAACGCGGACGTTGATGCTGACAATTGACCTTTAAGTGTAGGTCAATGTGCGCAAACTCGCGCAGTTGTGCACGAATCAGTGCATCCCCGTTCTTTTTGCCGTTTAAAGGGAATGTTCGTTTAACCTTCGCTTTAAACCTTAAACGTTTTAAACATTTGAGTTTTAAAAATAATGTTATCCTATTTCGGAAACCAAAAAAGAAAGAGACGCGACACCAGCTGTGCGATGTAGGTGGACGTTCCGTGTATAAATAGTTAAGCTGTATCAACACTGACCGACCATTGGACGCACCTGTTGATAGGGCTGTATACATGGAAGGGTGTCGCGTTTGGAACTGCATCGCCAATGCAAGGTGAAGCAACGTACGCTTTGCAAATAGAGGAAAGTCACCAACATCACACTTTCCGGGGACGGCCTCAGTTTGCCACGCCGCGGCCTACAGCAAGCCGGATTAGGTCATCGACAAGCAGTGGGTCGCTTGAAGGTGAAATTTTGACACGATGGACGTGCGCACGTGACGACGTGTTAATGCGGGTTTTGCGCCCGTGGGGTCAACGGGTGGCGAGTGGCACGTGTTGCAAGGGACATTTTCGGCCCATTGGCTTAGCATGGGTGGCGCGAAAAAGCGGCCTGGCTAAAAACCGGCGAGCGGTCGTTCGAAGCCGCGGCCGCACCTCAGCAACTGCGGGACGTAGGCCACGCGAAATCAACACCCCTCGACAGAGCATCCAACAGGGAATCGCGCGATGTCACGTTCGTAGCTGCACGTGCCACGTGCCACGCGCCCAGCGACAGTAAAGACGGATTTTCCCGTTTTCAGTCGTTTTTCACGTTTTACGTCACATCTCGGCAACCGGGGCCGGTAGAGGCGTGAATCCAGTTTCAAGCCGCCGGCCTGTCTACCGGCTACATTTCACGTGCCGAACACGAGAGCGTGCGACGCATCGTTGCGCAGGTAATCGGCGTGCAATCCGGACATGTCGGGATTTGGAAAAACGGGGTCAAACGCGACACGCTCTCGTCGAAACTGTCGCCACGATCGCGGCGAAATTTACATGATCACACGCGCGGATGCATTGGCTCCAATTACCACCTATTTTTAATTACTTTATGCATTTTTCACCTAAACATCCACTTCACCTAAAGGCTTTAAATATCGCTTTTTCGCGACGTCGAAATGCCACCGATCGGTCGTCCAGTCGCCGCCGCTGAGTAATTCAAGTCAAACGTTGGTAAACGCGCGTGATTGTTCGTCTGGCGTTCATTCACTTCGCGCGGGCGGAAGACTGGAAATCGCCGCGCTGTGATGGCCGACGGTCAGCGGTATTTCACTCATTCTCCGTTGGTTCTTTCGATGCGGGCGGAAGGGTCGAAAGAGAATCCGGAGTAGGGGTCGCCCCGCACATGGAGGGCGGCACAGGCAGAGGGACAGGAGGAGGAGGAGACGCACCACAGCTAGAGGATAGATCAGGAGAGAGAGCAGCAGTGACTAGAGACGACGTGCCATGACGGGTCTCGTGCCGGTGGGGTCGGTGGGTGGTGTGTGTAGGGGAGCTGTTAGGGACAAAGGGTGTCTCAGGTCGTTGGCTAAAGGCCGACAGGCCTTACTTGTTTTTCGTACTATTTGCATTAGTGTCATTTGCATCATTATGGCCATACATACTGTTAGAATCCAGCCACGTGCCAGGCCTAGGCACAACTTAAGCTTGCCCACGCATCCCGTGTCACAAAAGGCGCTTTACTGTAGTAACAACACCGAGATGGCCACGCACGAACTCCAATTGATACATGAAGGCCACTCAAGTGCAGGGCCACAGGCAGGGAGCACAGGAGCATGTGCTCCCCCTTCGGTCACTAGGGGCCCCAAGGGCTCCTTTCAACCGACAACCAGAGGTCCGAAAGGCTTGACCAAGGTCCGCAGAGCCAAGCCCTCAAATATCAGTCCGCGGGCTCTCGCGCCTATCGAGTTCCGGGATAAAGACGGCCTCTATGTCGTTCAGAAGCCGCCAAAAACCGAATAGTGGGCTCCTTTTGGTCTGGGTCGTAAGGGAAATTCCCCAAGCAGAGAGCTAGGCTGGGGCCCGCGAATGTCCCTGAAGACCTCCTGTATTTTTTTTTTAAAGATTTGATCCGAACCCTTTGAATGGATGGATTTCCGGGATCAGAGCTCACGCTAAGCAGTGCTTGTTGTGTGAGCCCTGACCCCTACCATCCGATCGCGCAATTCCAGGCAACGGCAGAATTTGGTGGCGAAGCTTAACGTGCCGCAATGCTCGGCACGGTCCGTCCTGCCCTCTGACGTCAACTGACCTTTAGCGCGACCGCTGCCACCGGCCGCAGGCCATACCTGTCAAGGGCAAATAGCGAGCGCCCTAAAGCGACTCGAACCCACCCCGCCACGGGTGGGTGCATCGGAAGGCAGGCGCTCTAACCAACTGAGCCACCGGGACGGACAAATTTCGTCGGATCCCCTGAGCCCCTGAAACAATGAGTGTCTCCCTGTGTCGGTCAGGGGTCCTAGCAGGGAGTTGTGCGTTAGTAAGAGCCATAGAATCGTCTAAGAGCACATTTACTGCACAGAGACAGGAACGGAATCCCAAACGCCAGAGAACTCCTTGTGCTGGTCGGAGGCCTTTGAGAAATGAAGGAGGTGTGCTTAATGACAATACGAAGTGTTCGCAATGATACAATGGAAGGACTCTGTGCCAGCCAGAACCCCAGAACCATATGGTAGAACAAAGAACCAGCAAATGGTAAGTCTACAATAAGCAACATCGATTTGTTTTGTAACATACTAAATGCGAAGCGCGCTCGAGAGAGTGTTGTCTAGCACTGTAGCTCGGCTAGGCTCGCACCGCAGAATCCTTATCTGTACGGCCACGTAGAAATGCTAGTATGAGTCGTATCATGCGAATTCCTACGACAG